CCCTTAGCTGTTATAAATTCACTGTAAACCACGGCTTCACGGGGCTTATTGCTTTTATAAAACGGTTATTCCATATACGTAGTAAGGTTTCATAGAATAAAACAGAGCAAATAAAGTGTAATGATATTAATAAAAACAGTATTCTTCCACCAAACTGTGTAGTTCCTCAGAATCAGTTGTGTTTGCAACAAAGTAGTTGCCGAGCAACACACAACGTAAACAAAGGTGTATGTTTGTAGAGTAATTTACAACAGCTTCGAACGCGGCTCAGCCAATCAGAATCAAGGACCGGAACTATCCGGTTTATCCACCTTTTTCTTGTCGTAAAAATGGGCGACCCCTTGGGTCCCGTCAAAAATGAGGGACCCATTTGTAAATTCTATGGGTCTGGCTTCCGGTCTCATCGGCGTCCACTCCGTTTAGCTATTTTTAGCTGAAAAAAACAGTTCGTTTTGCTGCTTGATATTGAAAGTTGGTGTGTCTTATATCATTTTAATGTATTATCTTAATTATGAACACACTGGTTTGTAGTGCAAACAGTTTTACCGTTTACTGCACGTTGTTATTCTCCTCGTTATTTACCTATAGCGGCTAATAAACCGGAAGTCTCACCCATAGGCTTACTTCTGCGTTGAAGAAAAAGGTGGATAAACACATTTTTATGGAGCACGATTCATCAGGCAGCAATATTTCAAAGCAAAAACAGATTTTCTTTTTTATCTTTCATCAGAATGTAATTTTTTTTCTCTATGGCTGAAGTCACCAAAGACACACAAGCTATTGGTTATTATTAATAGTCAAATCACTGTTTAGGCCTTTTTTAACAATAATGTTAACAATAACATAATGAAGGTTAAGGCAATAATAGAGAATAATGATAGGTTTGAAAAAGATACAGTGATATCCAGCCTCCTGAAGCCTTGGTGTCCCAGGTCAAGTAAACCTCCTCAAGCTGAGGTGCTGCTGCTGTTTCTGAAGGGGAGTTACTGTAAACTCATCTGCAGCTCTTTCTCATTGCTTATTGTTTCATGTGGAAATACATCACAGTATGGAATTAGAATGGGTTGAAAAGCCGGATTAAAGCCGGTCATGTTTGCTGTCGTGATCAGAGATTGGTCTTTGTCAGTCAACACGTATATTGTTATGCATTCACCAAATTGTGGGTGTTTGTTAGTGTGACTGATGTTTTTAATATATTTTCTTTCTATCGGTGCATTCCAGGACTTCTTCCAGTTTGCCAGCAGTCCCGGAGTCGACAGCACATTACGAAAAAGAGCAGAAAAGTTCAAAGTCCATCTGACCAAAAAGTTTAGTTGGGACTTCGATGCAGATCTTGATGAATGCGCTCCAGTGGTGGTGGAGCTTCCGGAGGCGGTCACGGTGGACTGATGCTGCTTCACATGATCCACGTCCACTTAAAAATACAGTGTGTTTGAAACGGCAGGTTTTATACTGTTTTCACATGAACATAATCACGTCTTTTCAGACTCATTCATCAGATACTCCAGCATCTGGATATTTTTCTGTCACTTCCTGATGAAATATTGACCGTTCCGCTTTATTAAAGCTAATTATTTCACTTGGTCATTC